TCGCGAACTTCATCCGCGTCTCGCCCCTTGACCTCGGAAATGCGAACGCCGTCTATTCCAGCTGCTGGAAGGTCTCCGCGAGCGTGTCCAAGGCCAGAATCACCTCCTGCAAGCCTCCAGGGTACTGGACGCTGCCTGGAGGTAAATGTCTCGTTGCCGTCGCCGCCTCCTTGGCCAAGTGGAGTAGTAATGTTTCGCCCTGCTCTTCTAGCAAAAAATCGCCGAAAACCTACCCCATCTGTCTATGCCAGCCGCTTCTCGGGCCACTCGCTCAGGTCCTTGCCGCCCCGCGCTGGACATGGAGGGCCCTTGCCCCTTCTGCCTCCTGTCCGCTCTTGTAGATCGTGATCGTCTTGAGCTCGAGCCTGGACCTGTGCGACCGTATTCTTGACCTTGTCTGGCGTGCCGAACCCTCGTGACATCGCTGACCAGTCTGATGATCTCTCTTCGGAACCCCTGCCCCACCTCTCGAACATGTTACACCGCTCCTCGGAGTTGCCCCAGGTCGTCGCAGTCCTCACTTGCCCACCAAGCATCCCACGTGGACTGACTCCTGCATGCTCGTTAAGCGGGGCCCCGTTGAGCCCCTCGCCGCGGTGATGACCGTGTCCACCGTGCCCAGGGATCTCACGGTGTCCTCTGTACTGTGCTGCTGCCCCCCTGTCATCCGGTTGTTGTCGCCCTCGTTGTCACCTGTATCCCACGCGCTGGCTGCTCCGTCGTGACTGTCGTGACCGTCGCTCCGCTTACCACATGCTAACTGACTCCCGAACTCCAAAGGTTTCGCCGACATCAGAGATGCATCGATGGTGAGAGCGCGGGCAGCTTTCCAGCACATCAGACTGCACTCCTGAAAGGGGGGCTGCAAGCCCCCTTTCCCCTGAACCATAAGTTACAGGAAAAGGGTCTCAGGGTTCTGGGCTAAGCTCCTAAAGGCCTCCAGAGCGTCCAGGGGTCTCGAGGTGCCTATAGATTCACAATATGTTTCGCTCCCCCGGCGTAAACACGTAGCGTGCGCGAGCAGGCGCGCGCGCGGGAGGGCGGGCGGGCGAGCGCGCGGGCGGGCGGGCGGGCGCGCAGGCGGGCGGGCGGGCGGGTTGGCGGGCGGCGGTGGCGGCGTCGTGGTATTAATCATAATCATCATCATCATCATCATCATCATCATCATCATCATCATCATCATCATCATCATCATCATCATCATCATCATCATCATCATCATCATCATCATCATCCTCATCATCATCATCATCATCATCATCATCATCATCATCATCATCATCATCATCATCATCATCATCATCATCATCATCAGCAGCAGCATCATCATCATCATCATCATCATCATCATCATCATCATCATCATCATCATCATCATCATCATCATCATCATCATCATCATCATCATCATCATCATCATCATCATCATCATCATCATCATCATCATCATCATCATCATCATCATCATCAGCATCATCATCATCATCATCATCATCATCATCATCATCATCATCATCATCATGCTCATCATCATCATCATCATCAGCAGCATCATCATCATCATCATCATCATCATCATCATCATCATCATCATCATCATCATCATCATCATCATCATCATCATCATCATCATCATCATCATCATCGTCGGAATCGTCATCACCATCATCACCATCAGCACCGCCATCGTCGTCGTCATCGTCGTCGTCGATGTCGTCATTGTCGTTGTCATCGTCATCGTTATCGTCGTCATCGTCGTCATCGTCGCCCCGTCGTCGTTATCGTCATAGGTCGTCGTCGTTCTCGTCGTTGTCGTCATCGTCGTCGTCTCCGTCCGCGTTGGAGCCACGTGCCGAGTAGATTGTGGTGTTTGCCTCCGCGGCGTTTCCACGTCGAGTAAAACAGAATTGTACGGTTTGGCAACGTTGCGTGCAAATTTGTATTGTATTTTGTTCGCCGGCCTGTCGTGGCCCCATTACGGACGGCAAAGCGCTCCATGTGTTCCCGCCCCGCGGCGCTGCCACGTGGCAAATAGAATGGAATGTTTATTTTCGCCCCCCCCAGACGCTGCCAGGCGGCGAGTAGGATTGGGATTGTACCATTGTTTCGGTCCGCGCGGCATTGCCACGTGATTATTTATATTTCTTGGTCGCTCACCATGTCGCCGGGATGAAACCGCCCCAGAAGAACTCCTGTCGGAAGAACTCGCCCGGAAGATTGCGCCGCGGTATTGCTACGTGATGTGTAGAGCGGAAGTGTTGTTCTTGTTCGTCCCCCGTGTCATTGCCACGTGGCGAGTGGAGTGGGATACTGCTTGCCTTTCAAGTCAACTCTTGCCACGTGGCGTTGCCATGTGGCAAATACAACTGAATGGATGAGTTCCTGGCCTTTTTCGTTGCGACGTGCTCGGGGGCTGCCACGTAACAAATACAGTGGAGCACTAGTTTCCGCCAACGGAACGCTGCCACGTGAAAAGGAAGGTGTTGCAGTATCTGTTTCGCTCCCCGGCGTAGCCACGTAGCGTGCGCGAGCGGGCGCGCGCGCGCGGGCGGGCGGGCGGGCGGGCGGGCAGGCTGGCGGGAGACGGTAGCAGCGGCCGCGGCGGCGGCGTGGTTGTCAGCATCATCATTATCAGCAGCAGCAGCAGCAGCAGCAACATCATCATCAGCAGCATCATCATCGTCATCGTCATCGTCATCGTCATCGTCGTCGCCGATGTCGTCGCTTTCATTGTCGTTGTCATTGTCGTTGTCTTTGTAGTCGTCGTCGTCACCATCGTCGTCGTCGTGTTCGTCGGCATCGTCGTCATCGTCGTCCGTCGTCGTCGTTCCCGTCTTTGCCGTCGTCGTCGTCATCGTCGTCCGCGTCCGCGCTGGAGCCACGTGCCGAGTAGAATGTGGTGTTCGCCTCCGCGGCGTTGCCACGTCGAGTAAAAAAGAATTGTACGGTTTGGCAGGTGCGCAAAGTTGTATTGCATTTTGTTCGCCAGCCTGCCGTTGCCCGCGAACGGGTTGGCGTTCCATGTGTTTCCGCCCCGCGGCGTTGCCACGTGGAAGTCAGAATGTAATCTTCATTTCCCCCCCCCCCCAGACGCTGCCACGTGGCGAGTGCAATGGGATTGTCTATGTTCGGTCCGCGCAGCATTGCCACGTGACGAGTTGAGCGTTTTGGTTACTTCACGTTCGCTCCCCATGCCGTTGCCACGTGGCGAGTTGACTGGGATAGCATTGCCGTGTACCTTTTCAGGCCTTGACACGTGCCGTTGCCATGCGGCGAATACAGAGGAGTTGCCTTTGTTTTCGCCCCGTTTCGCTGCCACGTGCCAAGGCGAGTGGAGCACTTCTGTTTCGCTCCGCAGGAGCTGCTTCGTGGCAGGGAATGTGGAGCAATACTTGTTTCGTTCCCCCGGTGTTGCCATGTGGCGAGTCGTGGAATGTAGCAGTTTGTGTTTCGCTCCCTAGTCGCTTCCACCTGGCAACTCGCGCGGAATAGTATTCGTGCGGAGCGGGGGGGTGGAAGAGGAGGAGGAGGAGGAAGAGGAGGAGGAGGAGGAGGAGCGAGGAGGGGGCCATCAGAACTCGCATCGGCACAACTCAACCTCGGAAAAAATCGCCCAGAGAAAATCGTCTGGAAAACGGTGCCTGAAGAAAGGCCAGAACAAATCACCATCGGACCAGGTAGCCCGGAAAAACTCTTGTGGAAGAACTCGCCCACAAGAAGTCGCCCAGGAAAAATCACCATCAGAACAAACATTCGGGAAGCATTTGTTCGGAAGAAGACACCTCGGGGGGGGGGGGGGGGGGAAAAAACAAACAAAAAAAAAAAAAAAAAAAAAAAAACGCTCGGAAGAAAAAAACACGGATGGCATTTTCGGAGAAGGTCGTCCGGAAAAAATCGTTTCGGAATGAGTCGCCCAGAAGAGTTCGCCCGGAAGAAGTCGCCCGGAAGAACTCGTCCAGAGGAAATCGCTCGGAAGAAACCATCCGGAAGAAGTCGTCCAGAAGAAGTCGTCCGCAAAAAATCGTCGCTGAAGGAAACGTGTTAGGAAGAGACCGTTTTAGGAAGAGACCGCCGGGGAGCAGATCGGACGAGAAGAAGGAACAAACCAGAAAGTAGCAGGAGGAGGTTAGGGAAGCACGACGAAGTGGGGTGGAAATTGTCGAACGGTGTCGCTCGGAAGAAGTCGCTCGGAAGACGAAATCGCCCGGAAGAGAAATCGTCCAGAAGAAGTGGTTCGGAAAGTTTCGTCCGGAAGAGGTAGTCGCGGGAAAAGTCGCCGGCGGAAGAAGTAGTCCCGAAAAAGTCGTCCGGAAGAAGCGGTCCAGAAGAAGCCGTTCGGAAGAAGTCGTTCGGGTGACATCGGCGCGGAAGAAAACAGTAGGCTTTCATCGCGATTGCGCCGTCTGCTGATGCCCTCGCAGCCAGGCCAGTGGGCGTCCGGGGCGACTTGCGGTTGGCTTGCAGAACAGCCAGACGCACAGGCTACTCAGGGAATGGCGGGCGGAACCAATGCGGAGGCGAAGGTAATAGCGAAGGCGCGCCCACACCGCACTACGCGCACGTTCCGTGGATCGCGAGCCAGGAACGCTCCCAGTTCCGCTACCACCTAGAACTGCGGGACTTGGAAGATGCACGAGAGAAAACATGGCGGCACGAAAGTGTTGATTGCAGTTGAGATTCTCTGTACGCTATACAGGTACGCGCTGGCGCTGAAGCCAAACGGCGGCAGAGTATGCGACATAAGTGAGGAGGAGGAAGAGGAGGAAGAGGAGGAAGAGGAGGAGGGGGAGGAGGAGGTGGAGAAAGACGGAAAAAAGAGAAGGACGGAGGACGAGGAAAGAGAACGGAGATTGAGGAGGCGGAGGAGGAGGATGAAAGAGGAGGAGGAAAAGGAAAAAGGAGGAAGACGGGGTAGGACAAGGAGGAGGGCGAAGGAGGAGGCAGGAGAAGGACGGAGGAGGATAAGCTCATCGGACCCCCGCCGCCGCCCGCGGCCCGTCCTCCTGCCCCTGGCAGCCCCGCGGCGCCCGCCGCCGACACGGCGCACCCCATGGCCTGGGGCCTGAAGAAGGCGACGAACTAAGATCGAGGTCCGTCTCTTCCTCCTCTCTCCTCCTCCTCGTCCTCCTCCCGCTCGTTCCCCTCGTCCTCGTCCTCGTCTCGTCCTCCGCCTCCACCACCTCCACACTCCACCTCCATCCACCTCCACCTCCACCTCCCCTCCTCCTCCCCTCCTCCTCCTCCGCCTCCTCCTCTCTCTCCTCCTCCCTCCTCCTCTCCTCCTCACTCCTCCCCTCCTCCTCCTCCTCCTCCTCCAACTTCCTCCTCTCTCTCCTCATCCCCTCCTCCTCCTCCTCCTCCTCTCCTCCTCTCCTCCTCCTCCTCCTCCTCCTCCTCCTCCTCCCTCCTCCTCCTCATCCTCCTCCTCCTCCTCCTCCTCCTACCTCCTCCTCCTCCTCCTCCTCCTCCTCATCCTCCTCTCCTCCTCCTCCTCCTCTCCTCCTCCTCCTCCTCCTCCTCCTCTCATCCTCTCATCCTCCTCAATCCTCCTCCTCCTCCTCCTCCTCCGCCCGCCTCCTCGCCCCTCCTCCTCCTCCCTCCTCCTCCTCTCCGCCTCCGCCTCCGCCTCCGCCTTCCGCCTCCTCCTCCTCCTCCTCACCTCCCTCCTCCTCCTCCTCCTCCTCCTCCTCTTCTTCTTATTAGTCTTCGTATTCTTCTTATTATTCGTCTTCTTATTATTATTATTCTTATTATTATTCTTCTTCTTCTTATTATTATTATGATTCTTCTGATTCTTCTTATTAGTCTTCTTCTTGTTCTTATTATTATTAGTCTTATTATTATTCTTATTTTTATTATTATTATTATTATTATTATTCGTCGTCTTCTTATTATTATTATTCTTCTTCGTCGTAGTCTTACTATTCTTATTTTTCGTGTTCTTCTTCGTCGTATTCTTCTTATTATTATTCTTATTATGTTTCTTCTTCTTGTTCTTATTATTATTATTATTATTATTATTATTATTATTATTATTAGTCTTCTTATTATTATTATTATTATTCTTATTCTTATTATTATTCGTATTATTCTTCTTATTCGTATTCTTCGTAGTCTTCTTCTTATTCTTCATATTCTTCTTCGTCTTCGTCTTCGTAGTCTTATTATTCTTCTTCGTATGATTATTATTCTTCGTCTTATTCGTATTCGGTTGATTCTTCTTCTTCGTATTATTCTTATTATTATTCTTATTATTATTCTTATTATTCTTATTATTAGTCTTCTTATTATTATTCGTCTTCGTATTGTTCTTCTTATTCTTCTTCTTATTATTATTCTTATTCGTCTTCTTCTTCTTATTATTATTCGTATTATTCTTATGATTCGTCTTATCCTTCTTCTTCTTCTTCGTCGTCGTCTTCTTCTTATTATTATTCTTCTTATTATTATTATTCTTATTCTTCGTGTTCGTATTCTTCTTCTTATTAGTATTATTCGTAGTCTGATTATTCTTCTTATTAGTATTATTATTATTATTATTCTTACTCTTTTTCTTATTCGTATTCGTCTTATTATTATTATTGTTCTTATTCTTCTTCTTCTTATTATGATTCTTATTATTCGTCTTCTTCGTCTTCTTCTTATTATTATTATTCTTCTTATTCTGCTTATTATTATTATTATTCTTCTTCTTATTCTTATTATTATTCTTATTGTTCTTCTTAGTATTATTATTCTTATTCTGCTTATTATTCTTATTAGTCTTATTATTATTATTATTATTCTTCTTATTCTTCTTCGTCTTATTATTCTTATTATTATTATTCTTGTTATTCTTCTTATTATTCTTCTTATTCTTCTTCTTCTTCTTCTTCCTCCCCCTCCTCCTCCTCCGTCCCCTCCTCCTCCATGCTTGCTGCGTTAGGCCGCTCGGCCTTGTCCTTCTCCTCTTCCTATTCTTCCTCCCCCTCCCCGCCTACCCCCCTCCTCCTCCTCCTCCTCCTCCTCCTCCTCCTCCTCCTCCTCCTCCTCCTCCTCCTCCTCCTCCTCCATTCCTTTTCCATTCCTTCTCCAGTCCATCCCCTTATAGATAACTCCTCCCTGTCACACCCCGAGGCCAGTTTTTAGGGCGGGCTGGGGGTGTCGCCTAAGACTTCCTCACCATGTATGACTCCGCAGCCTAAAAAGTGGCATCAGCTTCACAGATGAAGGGCGGGTCGCTTTCAAAATGCTGCTCTCGCCGTAGCGCCGCGCACATTTGTCTTAGAACTTCGGAGCTTCACGGATTGAGGGCGGGTCGTTTTCAAAATGTGGCTCTCGCCATAGCGCCGCGCACATTCGTTTCAACGATGTGTGAGAGCTTCTGAGGTTGAGGGCGAATCCTTTTCAAAATGCGGCTCTCGCCTTAGCTCCGCGCACACCCGTTTTGAAAAAAATACAATAGTTTCACGACTTCCTATGATCAGCACACCAGAAGTGGAGTTTTGGAAGGATTCCTGATGATGCGGGCGCAACAATTATGTTGATTCGCTGTGTTGGAGTCCCAAAAATGGCGTTATGGCACGATTCTGGATCCTCAAGACGCAGCAATCAGAATGATACGTGGCGTTGAAATCCCGAGAACATTTTTTTGGTACGCTTCAGGAACTTCACAAATTCGCTGTGCACCCCGCTCACCCGTAGCTGGGTTGCGTCTGCAACCACAGCGTTGGGTGTGCGCCGAAGCCTGCGCCGCGCCGAGAGGGCGCGGGCGCCGCGAGGCCTCGGTGCTGGTCGCAGCACGACCCAGCAACGGGCGAGCAACGGGGCGGGCACGGGCGGGTCAAATCCCGAGCGCGGGGCGCGCGCCCCAGGCACGCACAAACCTGTGGTACCTGCGCGCGGCCGCGGCGGGCAGCGGCCGCGCGCGGGGGCGCGCGGGCCTGCCCACATCGCCTGCGGCGCGCCGCGGCGCGCGCGAGCCAAGCGGCGGCGCGGCGACTGCTGGCGCCTGCGTCCGCCGCGTGCGCCTGGGGCCAGCGAATGCGTGCGATGGAACCAGGGGCCGAACTCGTTCCATGCACACAAATTCGCTGAGCACCCCGCTCACGCGTAGCTGGGTTGCGTCTGCAACCACAGCGTTGGGTGCGCGCCGAAGCCTGCGCCGCGCCGAGAGGGCGCGGGCGCCACGAGGCCTCGGTGCTGGTCGCAGCACGACCCAATGCAACGATGCGACCAGCGCCGTGCGCCGCTCACCCGTTGCGCACGCGGAGCGCGGCGCTCGGGCGCGCGCCGGGATGTCGCAGCCACACTAGGTGTCTGAGCTGCTGTCAGAGCTGTCCGAGCAGTCGGACGCGGCGTTGCGCGCGGCCGCTACCCTCTCACTTTCGACCCGGACGCGGTCGATGTAAGCCAGGTAGGCGTTCGACGCCCAGCCTCCACGTTCCTTCGTTACTGCGGTCGGTGCACCCGCGCGATCGATGTCATCGGCGCGCCCCCTTGTGCGCGCGAGAGGGGCGGAGGGATGTGCGCGCCGAGCCGCGCGGGCGGTCGCGGGTCGCGACCTTCGCATGTCGTGGGTGCCGAATAGGTTGGCACTGTCCACGCCTATCCTGGACAATAGGGACCGAAGGATACGCCGGGCATCCGACCCTGAGAACTGCGCGAACGGCTGAGCGCCTACTGCTGTGCCGCGCAGCAACGGAGGCAGCGCGTGCACGGCGCACGTCGCGGCGCGCGCGCGGCACCAACACCTCCGGCGGAGCATCGACGCGCACGGCTTGTTCTTCCGCCTTGGCAACCAGAGGAGTGCCTCGTCTGCCGATATGGCCAACTCCGCCTAGCGCGTTCGTCGCGCGCGCGGGCGCCCCAGCGCGCGCGCTTCCAGACGGCGCGGCCCGCCGCGCGGCCGCGCGACAGAGTGTTGCCGCACCACCGGATGGGTAAACACTCGGATGGTAGGCGAAGCAGGAATATGTACGCAATTAGAAACATGGTGGATGCCACCTGCGCGACCGCTGGGTTGACTGGCGAATGCCGCGCGGCGGCCCCGCCTTTTCTTCTTCGCTGCGACCATGTAGGCCAAGTAATTGCGCAATCATAGCGTCACGAACGAAGCGCGGTTCGTGTGGCGTGTGTCCGCCGCGCCGCACAATGGCTGCCTTGGCCTTCCTGGGCGCGCGACGCGCGGCCTCGCGCGCGCGGTGGCGCGGGGGGCCGACACCGGAGCAGCCGTCTGTTGCCGAAGGCGCTCGTGTCCAGGCGTAGCACTTCGCACGCTGTCTGCACGTGCCCGCAATAATTCCGGAACGTGCCCGCGCAAGAGAAAGTGCCCGACCAGCACAACAGATCGTCCTGGGCGCACGCCGCAGATTATAGGAGTCTGCGGGCCGCGCAGGACGGGTTGCGCGGATTGGTCGCGCCTCGCTGGGCGGCAGCGCGAGATGCCGGTCACGTCCGAGTACGTCTATCGCGAAATTGAGCCAGCACCGCACACCGCTCTTCAAAGATTGGCGGGTGGATGGTATAGTGCTGACCAGGACCTCCAATCGGGCCCGTTCCGCCCATTCGCGCCGCTCCCCCTGCGAGGGCATGGAGCACGCAAGCCACTGCGCGTTGCGACGCGGTCCCCCTGGCACGGGTGGCGAGGGCGGTCCTGGCCGCGCCATCGCCCTTTCGAATGCAGGCGCTATCGCTGTCAGGCGCTCTGGAGAACGGCTCCGCGCATCCCCGCTACGCGCGGAAGAGGGCCCCGCGGTGCACAGGCGATCGAGCTCCGACAGGAGGGGTGCTGGCAGGACATGCAGGTCCGCGATGCACCTCAGCTGCGCCCCGACGAGATCCTGGTGGGTCTCGAACCCTTGCTCCGCCAGTACGCTGGCCGCACGCGCGATATCGGAGGCATCCCCTGCGCGCCGGCGGGCGCGCGCGCGCACGCCGCGGGCGCGCCAGCCGAGCAACCTTTTATTCCGCACTGGTGTAAATCGCGGGCGAGGCGAACCGATGCGACACTGCCTGCGCGGCGAAGACGCCGACCCGCGCCCGCGCGCGCCGCTCGCCTAGAAAACGCTTCACGCCTCTTGA